CAGCGCAGCACTGAAATCAAGCTGGGCTTGGACTCAACAAGTGCAGAAAATCCTTCAGCGGCTCATGCCGCATGCCTATTCGAGGGCTCCAGGGTAGGCAGGGCGTCGACAACAGCCCCACTTTGCTTGGACTCGACAAGTGCGAAGATACTTCAGCGGCTGATGCCTATCCAAGTGCAAGTGCCTCTTGTTATAGCATATACTGGCCACCGATGTGCCAATCATCAGTGTGCAATTCCAAAAAAGAATCCGCATGCCTGCAATCGGCTGAAAAGCTATCGGAAGTACGAGTAGAACCGTCAGACAGTCCTGTCAGAAGTTCCACAGAAAGGCTCAACAGCCTCATGTCTGTCTGACAAGCTCAAGCTCTGCCTGAATGCCCATTCCACTGGTTCACTGAACACTTCACTGATGTCATCACAGGCTGAGAAAAGTGAACCAAGATCCCCAGAACCATGAGAATTCCCTCTCCCACACGAACAACCAGCTCCGCAACCATATTTAATCTTCTCTTGAAATCAGATCTACCTGTCACACCACCCACGCGCGTTGCCGGGGCGCCCGACCCGAGCGGCTCACCAAACGTCGGATCTGTCGATGCCTGCGACTCGGAGAGGTCGGGCGGAAGGGCGCATCGAATCGTTGGAGCTTCGGAGTGGATTTCGTTGGACGAATGGCACGAATGGCACGAAGGTCACCACCCTCCGGTGTATCCCCCAAATTTCACTGCAGAACCCGAACCCGAACCCGAAGCGTTCTCATGGCCTCTCCAAACATCCTCTCTGTGACCCAAATGTCTTGATGTTAACTTCAAAAGGCAAGCCGGCAAACTGGTTGCTTGAGAAGACTAAAATGAAGCGGCCCAAGATATCAACTCAAGACCATCTTTAGAGGTGTGTCTTTTCAGGAGCTTCAGATTCCAATCATCGGGCTGCTTGGCCAGCTGTTGTTTTTGTTTTGAAAAGTACAGGTTAAGAGACCTGCCACAAAAGACTCAAAACTAAAGGAAAGAAAAACATGTTTCGGATCCAGAGAAAAGAGAAAAAGGCAAAGGCCTCACGAAAGAAGCACATAAAGTACGGCTAAAAATGAATACTCGGGCGATGGCTGTTCTAGGGCACGCCAGTGTGATGTTTCCCGTGACAAGGGGTCTGCACAACATTGCACAACCATCGAATCGGCATATCAAGGACCAACAAGAGCAAATGATGTTACCTTAGTTGAAGCATGTTAAGGCAAAGCGAGAAGGACTATGCGTGACTATGACTATGCTACACACATGAAGGATGGCTGCCAACACGTCTCTGACCGGTCGAAATCGCTTCCGTGTTCGCCGTTCATTCGAAGACGCGGCCGGCACCTCCCCTCTCGCAGGGTCAACTCCAACAAGGACCGATGCCCCAAGAAGTGCGGCTTCCCGTGCCCCGGGTCCACATGCCAATGCTGCAGGAGCCGAACCTGCGTGTCTTTTCGGGTCTGCATCGGTCCCCTGTCAACAGAAGTTCGGCAAGTGTTATACAATAAATAACCAAAAGAATTGAGCAAAGCATACTGAAAAACATCAATCACAGTAGTATACATGGGAACTTGAGAGGTTTACAGTCGACTGACCGCATCACGAACACCAAAGTCGACTTCCCCTGGCTCGGCCTCTGCAGGCAAGGTCCACACCTCTTCGCCACGGTTGGTGCGATTTCGCATATATCGGTACCTCAGGTCTGTGGACGTTGAGAGACTCGGCTCGGACATTGTGGTGTCCACCTTCATACGATCTTTCTATTACAACTTAGGAACCCTAACAAAAGGGGACCTTGAAATTGGACATCCGAAATGAAACACGAAGACTCATTGGACATCAACATCGGACCCTCGCCCTCTCCAAGCGGCGGCTCTGAAAGCAGCTTGATCCGTGGGTCAGCCAAGGTCCAACGCCCAGCAACCTCGACCCGTCGTCCAGTGCGTCGAGGCCACGGTGGCCACGGTGGCCACGGGTGGGATTGA